ATGTTCATGGCAGCAGTGAAGATCTAGTGTCTTTTCCATTATTGCAGGCCCACAAAAAGGCTCAGCCTATACCCATCTACCCTTTCCAAGGCTATTGTTTAAGCAGATTTGGTATGTTTGTTATTAAGTCTGCAGACTGGAGAACATGAAGGGTGTGCTGTTCAACATAGAATCATTTCCATCTGTTGTAAATTCTTGTCAGATGTTGGGAAACAGCAGGCAAAAGCTAATAGCAAGTGTTCTAACCATGTACCAAGGAGAAGCTCTTTATTGTATAGATTCATATACTGCTGGAAATTAAGTTGATATTTTAATTTTTTTTTCAAGAATGCTTGCTAGCTTATTATATATTTATTTTAAAATGTTTGGATCATCTTTTAAGGATAAAAAGAGAATCTATTCCATGGAACGAACTGCGCAACTAATTTCACATACTGCAAGGTTTAGGGCTTTGTCTTGCCAAATGGCTTCCAATCCATGAAATAGCTCCCAGCAAGGCATTTTTTGAAATTTGAACAGTTTTGAAAAGTAGTCTGCAGTATTGTGCTGGAGGTATAAGACTTCTCTTCCCTCCTGCAGCCTGAAAAAACAGGAAAAAATCAGAAGGATTGGAGTTCTAGAAATAGTTGCAATATTACTTCAGAAAACTAGACAACAATTATTATTTAAAGCCATCATTGCTGGAGGAATAATCACAATGCTTTTAAAAAAAAACAACTATTGGGCATTTTAAAAACCTGCACACAAATTTGGAATGGTGAAATTAAAGATCCTTTCGTCAATACAAAATATTCTTTGAATAGGAGCTATGTTTGATTGTAAACTGATTGTGTAAGATCGTGAAGAGCAAATTGGTGTCCTCTAGAAGTCCTGGGCTCTTGCATTCCTTTATTATTTGCCATGCAAGTTAGAAGAATAATGACTTGAGACAAAATATTAGGCACTAGGTTCCCTCATCCAATGTTAGAGAACCGGCATTCAATATAGGTTTAGGAAGAAGGCTATTGTGTCACAAAAGTTTTTCTGATCTCATTAGCCTTTGTTGCAAGCAGTGAAAAATCAATTCTTGATTTAAGAACAAAATGGCAATAAATTAAGACTGTGTGCAATAACTGCACACAGTCCTAATTTATTTTTATTTCTGCTATAGCTCTCTTAAAAGTTGGCTTTTTGAAAAAGTGGCCCAAGAATATTTGAGATCAGCATGTAATATTCCACAAGGACACCAAACCCATGGCAATCAGAGATGGTATTCTGCCGGGTCGGACTGGTTCTCTCGAACTGATAGCGGAAATCACGAGTGGCCCCGCCCATCTACCTTGGTTCTATGGCATCCCATTTAGGCCCTTTTTTTAACCAAGCGCATGTGCGGAAGGCTGAACCCATGCACGGAAGGCTGAGTGCATGCACGGATGCAGCACATGTGAGTGAAGTGCGCATGAGCGAAGCAAGCGCACATGAGTGCACATTCTCACATTTGCAAACTGGTAGGGATGGTAAGTGTATACCACTCCTGATGGCAGTCATTTGCCTACCTAGATTCACAATATTAACACCTGAAACTATTTGAATGAAACGTGAATGTTTTAATGTATTCTACTCATCTTAACTCTAGGAAGTGGAATTATTTATTTATCAAATTTATATGCTGCTCATCTTGCAGGATCATTATTTAGAAGTAACTGCTCAACATTTTGTAAACACAGCAATAAATGGCTTATTTATTTTAAATGAAGTGTAAATAAAAGGATGCAACACCCGCAGAATAGAAATCAGGGCTATTTGACAGATGTAAAGGAAGTTACAACCACAAGAGTATTCTTCCTTTCTGGAGTGGGGATTTTCCATGCTGACAATAGCTTTTTCTGCTTGGAGAAAACATTGAGTAATTGGGTGTGTGTATTATACTGTTTGCACACCATTAGTATAGGCATTACTGTAACATGCTTTTTGAAGACATGGCATTTCATTTCATTTCAAGACATGATAGTAGTAAAACAGTAATACAGATAACACCTAATGAACTTCTAGAATGTTAACTTGCTCGAGCATAAAAGCTACACATGTAATATCCAATATGCAGTTGAAAAGACAGTGGCAGTGAGTGAACTATTTCTTTAGCATATATTTTAAGTTGCATATCCACAACTTATGAATGTTGAAAACCAGTGTTGGCAGCTAGGCTGTCTGAATGTCTCAAGCAAGTTACATCAATTTTGCTTCAGAATGTAGCCTTCATTAATTGTATTTAGTCTCCCACAAATGCATATCCAGCATCTCATGGCATGTTAATATCTTGTTCCGTCCTAAGCAACTGAAACCTGTTTTTGAATCATTAAGTCCTTGTCGGCTCTGTATCCTAACAAGAAAGTTTTTATCCTTAATGGAAGTGACTTCAGTCTGCAAAGTACAGCCTGTAAATTGTAATGTCTGGTGACTAATCCACCCTACACTATTAATATTAGGAGTGTTTTTACATCATGAGAGTCTAATATTAACATAACCCAAACAGGAACTTTGTTTAATAGTGAAAGGGGAGACTCAGGTAGCTGAAATGGGAACTGCCTTTCTGCAGCAACCTTGGATGGAGAGAATAGTTGGCAGTTTTTCAGTCTTCATTTTGCATAGTTTATTGATTCTCATATTTTAAGGAAGAAAGTTATATGAAAGGTTCCTTGAAAATATTTTTATTTTCCATTTTTTCAATCATTCAGTTGGATTTTTTTGTACTAAGTTATACCGTATTTTTCGGAGAATAAGATGCACCTTTTTCCCTCAAAAAAGAGGCTGAAAATCTGGGTGCATCTTATACACTGAATACAGAATTTTTTGCCTCCTGAAACCCCGCTCCTTCACAAAAATAGTCGTGCATAGCCTTATGGAAGCTTTCAAAGAGCTCCGGGGGGCTGGGGAGGGCAGAAATGAGCAAAAAGTAGGCTGTTTTTCCCTCAAATTTGCCCTCCCAGCCCCCAGGAGCACTCTATAAGCTTGCTAATGCTCTTTTTTGGGGGGCAAAAAACCAGCTGTTTTTTGCTCATTTTTGGCCCCCTCCTACTCCCCCAGGAACACTCTACAAGCCTCCTAAGGGCTATTCATGCCCCTTTTTTGAAAATAAATGGGCCCATTTTCACAAAAAAACGGGCCGTTTTTGGTAGGTTTGCAGAGTGCAAAAACTTGTTTTTTTTAATTTGCCTCTTAAAACCTTGATGCGTCATACTCTGGTGCATCTTATACTCTGAAAAATACGGTAATTCTCACACAGATTGGTTTCAGAGTTTTATTTTGTTTTTTTAATAGGAATTTCTTTCCCCTTTCAGTCACAGTTGTTGAATAATTTCCCTTATGGAACTAAAAGCTTTTGTTTTAGAGACATATAGATTGATTTTGGAAAAACAGTGTATTCTATACAATTACAAGATAAATAAATCAGCAATCAGATTACAGGTATCATTAGTAGATAACACCTGCAAAAGTAATTTATATTACTTTGTTTTTACATTGGCTTCCTAATTTCAGTAGAAAGAAGACTTGCCTCCAAGGATCATTCTGAATCTTTGTTAATATTTGTAAAAAACCCTTAATGATGAAAAAAAGAAGTAATATTTATTTACCAAATAGCAAAGAGAAAGACATTCTTCAAATTCTAAAGTAAGTCTTCTTAGCGTGCCAATGAATCTGAACTAGTCAAAGGTGAGACCTGTTGAGTAAGACATTCCGTCAGCAGACAGCTAGTAGAGATAATAAAGTCTGGAGCTATGAATGTTAGGAGGATTGGGTTAGGGAGAGGTTTCATGCCCCAATCTGCTGAAGTCAGCCAAATGCACAACCTTGGTGGCAAGTGTCTGTTAAGCGTGGTAGGTAGGTAATGTAAAATGTTCAGCAACATTTGAGGGATTTTGATGTGAAATCTTAGCAATCCCGTTTCTGGGTTTATATTTTTGCTCTTTTTAGTGTAGAATTTATGTGTGGGATCTCGTTTTTGAGACTAGTCTAATTTTGGAATGGCATAGCCTTTGCTCTACAATCTCTGTTTGCTAGTCATGTCGGTTGGGTATGGTTATTGGAAATTCAGAAAAACCTGGAGAGGGATATACTTTTGTTTTTGTTTTGGTATGTTTGCTGCATGAGCCGTATCAAGAAAAAACATTAAAATATGCAATAACAGCACTTTTCAAATAATCCAAAACACTTAAATAATAAGTGTCTGTTTTGTAAAAATGAACATGCAATAATACACAATAAGCAAAAATTCACAAAAGGATGCATATCAGAAAGTATTTGGTAACTGTTATTCTTGTAGATAATGGTAAGGGTTTAATCTTCAATTCATTACAATAATCCAGAATATAGATATTACAAATATATCAACATATGTATACACCTCAAATACTTTTTTTACACTTAAACAAAATATTCTCAAATAGCTGGCAGTATAATCTGCTTCTTTACACTTTTCTCCCAGATAAAAGCCATGTTCTCTGTCAATGGATAAGTTTTTATTAAAATAATAAATAAGACACTAAAATAGTCAGGGTGGTGTGGTAATTAAGATATTGGACGAGATCCAACTTTGAGATCCAACTTTCAGTTTGCCATCAGCCTTATTTATTAGTTAACTCTGAGCCAATTGGACTCTTTCAGCCCAACCTATGTCACAGAGCTTTTAATTTTTGCATGTGCTGATGTCTACAAAGATAAAAGTCCAAGCTTTTCTTCCATGACATTTATCCTAAAAATACTTGCCTCTTAATCTTGATTCACTTTGCTTTATTATTTCCAATAATGAAACAATTCCGAGGAAAGTACAACCAAATATATAATGCTCAGAAGGTTCTTGACTATGTTTTTCAAATGTTTGTGCATTTTAATGAGGTATAGTTGTACGAGGACGATATATTCGATATATTTGTTTTGTGCATTGTGTTTGAGAGCTGTATGTTAATTTTTTATGGATATACCTATACATTCTCAATACAGACATTAATTTTTCTAATCAACAGTCCCTGACTACCATCTCTGCTACTGGAGTAGGAATATACAAATAAAGTAAGTCCTTGAAAGGGGAAATGGGGTAATAGTTAAGAAATTATTCTCTTCCAACATCTCAGCCCAGGAACACACTTAACCGGGTGTTTGTACAGTTAACAATATATTCATCTTCCCAACATCTACATTTAATTAAATAATTTTTAAAAGAAAGTGTTTGTAGAGTTAATAATCAGTGTCCTGTACACAAAGTATGATTTTGATAGGGGAAATAAGTTAATACCCTGTTTCCCCAGAAATAAGACCTCCTCGGATAATAAGCCCAATTGGGCTTTTGAGCACATGCACTAAAATATGCCCTCCACACAGCAGCAGCCATGAGGTGACCACGTTCTCCGCCTCCTGAACCTCAAAAATAATAAGACTTCCCCAAAAATAAGGCCAAGTGCTTATGTTGGGAGTCAAAAGAAGATAAGACCCTGTCTTATTTTCGGAGAAACACAGATGTCTCTCACAACACCCCATTCAATAACATATTTGATTTAATTGTTTATGCAGTTAACAACCAATGTGTCTTCCCAGGATCTATATTTACTTAATTGAATCAAAAGAAGAAAATGTTTGTAGAGCTAATAATCAACATGAACTTTTACTCCTATTGAAGGTATATTTGAAGTAGTAATAACCGAATGTTCTTATTGT